GTACACTCTTCAAAAGAATGCTCTGTTCGTTTGGACCTGAACGGCAGAAACCTCCCAGACATCCTCGTCACTTGATACCTTCATTGTTGTTTTCAAGAGTTCCTCGTCTTTCCTGATCGCGCGACATTCTCGCCAAAATCCTGAACCTTCCCGACATGTGCAGGACCATAAGTTGGGGAACAGAAATTCGTTGGCAAAGCTTTGGGACTTGTTAGGATTCGGAGTGTAGGACAGGACGCGTGCACGTCCCTTCGAGGAGGTAAGATAGGCTCCGAATGCAACGGGCTGAGCCAAGTTTTTGGAGGGCGTTTGCAGGCCGTGATGGTGTTGACAGCGGGCTGTGTGGGTTTTATGGGCCCTGGCAAAGCACACTACACGGTTTCGTGTATTAGCACTTTCTCGAAGCCACGGTCATAACGATGTCCTCATGTTGAGGCCACTTCTCTGCCAAGCGAAGCAACATACAGTCATATTATCTGATATTCCGTGGTTGTGCATTTTTCGAGGTGCTCTCACCACTCTCACCACATAAACATGAACACTCCGTCTTCTGCCTACTCTTTGATCTTGGAAATTGGTCTGGGTGCCTTCAAGATCCCGTGATGCAGCTGGGGAAGCTGGTTGAGATCATGGCAACCAAGCCCAAGATCGCGACCTCACCCGTCCCCACTCCCCCCACCCCCGAGGCCAGCAGGACCAGTCATCAAACCAAGATGGCCTTATTGTGCACCCCGCAAGCTTCAATTTTTGGACCATCGCGATCTCCTAGGCCCGGACCTATCAGACCATGCGAAGGGATCAATGATGCCCTACACAGCGGACGACCGATCCGACCGTCGTGGCCCACCGTTTCGGAGGAGAAGACCCAGAACATCAGTCACAACCTCGATGCGCGCTGTTGAATCAGTGAAGATCTCCCTACCTGGTTTTCCGAGTGCTAAAAAACATGTTTTCCATATACGTACGGATATATACATGTGACATATGTGAAAATGATCCCGGCTCGGCCGTCCCCCCCCACCCCAATGATTGGCACCGCCTCCTGCCCCGCCCTTATAGTGTAGTGTGGTTCGGGGTTTGGTCGGCTGGGAGTGGCTCCCCTCCCCACTGTGGTGTGGTGTTCGCGGTGTGGGTCTTGTTTGGGTGTTTGGCATCATCATCATCATCATCATCAACATCAACATCTTCTTCTTCCACCGCAGCTAGGGATGAGTCCGAGCTAGCGCGCGCCAGCAAGAGCTATGCTCTCGGTCACTCAGTGGTGACTTGGCACGAGTGCCCTTTTGGGCAGGGGAACATGCGCCGAGGCGCCTTATAAACTAGCTTTCGCAGGTCGGCTTCTGCAACCCGATCAAATCTGCAGCTAGCCGACGAGCCCAGGTTCACTCATCCAAGGAGTGAAGGAAGCCATTCGGAGTCATCATCATCATCATCAACAACATCAACATCAACAACATCAGCATCATCATGGGGGGCGGCCGGCGAACCGAGAACCGAGATCACATGTAGCGAATTTGTTTGTTCATTCAGTGATTATTTTTGTACACACATACATACATGCACACGCATGTATACTGTATACGTGCATGTACCTTTACGTGTATAAATATATATATATATATATACATATATATGTCACCCCTCCTCAAAGATCAATGCTTTTATTACTCTTTGCTGTGCTTGCACGGCTGGTGCCCCCCCCACCCGCCATGGTATTGCCCCGCCACGAGGCCTCTCGTCCCAGCAAACAGTCACACCTCTCCCTCAACACTGGAACCACAAGACAGGGAACGGCCGAAGACAGGGAACGGCCGGGCCGGGCCTAACCCTCCCCTTCGACACGCAGATGAGAATGATGTCGATGATGTTGTGCAATTCCCAGTGTGGCTGTTGGTAGTACCTGTGTTCTTACGTTGTTTCGGGCTTCGGCACTGCATGTTCATTGCTTGGTTTAGTTGAAAATCGTTCTTGGATTGTGATGTTTTTGCGAATCTGTATCGACCGTTGTCATTCCAAGCCAAGTTTCGGTTGGGTTCGTTAGAATCAAGCTTGAGCACGTGTTTCAATGATTTTCATTCGGGACGCTTGAGCAAGGGACCGGATGAAAGTGCGGATGGGGATCATGACCACCATCTTCGTCATCATCACGGGGCTTTGGAGCTGCAGGTCGGGGTTCAGTGGAACTGTATCACATCCGAAGGTCCAAACCATTAGCAACCGGACGCCCAACCAGCAATAGCCATAGAAGGGTGCGCAACCGATCGCAACCACAGGGGGGCCCCCAGGGAACCACAGGGGGGGAGGGGGGATACCATGGGGCGGGGGGGGGAGGGGGGCCTAGCAGCGCTGCACCATGTATGCAACCATCCCCCCCTAAAGTCCTGGGCGAAGTCCTCCTCAACTACGGGGAAGAAGGGCCCACACTAGATGCCGAAACACTGTGGGACGATTTTTGACCGAGTCCACAGCCACCTACAACAAGTGGAGGGGGCACCTCGTACGCTCCTGGGGGACGTCAGGGGGGAGCTGCCCACACAGCACCAATCCTCCATGGCCCGGGACATTGCGGCAGGCTACGGGGACATACCAATAGATTCATGCAGTGTTCACCTGTCCGCAGCAGCAGCTGCTGCTACTACTACGACTTCTCCTACTACTGCCATTAGGATGGTAACCCCCAACCCAGGACCAACCTCGACCATGTCATTGCTCATGTGTGTGTCTCTCTGTTGTTGTCGCTAGAAGCCGAAAACATTGTAAATGCCTTTAGGTTCTCCATCGATTCTTTGCCAATTGTTTTTGCGCATCACAACGCAGACCAAAGATGACAGAAAAAACATCAGTTTCGTGGCTGCATATTCTCCAGCCACTACTACTTATTGCTAACTATTGCTACTTTCTAATACGACGACTGCTACTACTACGACTGTTACTTCTACAAGTATTCATGCTACGATTACTAGTTTTAACAGTGTTATCATGGCATAGGTTTTAAGGCGATGGTTATATCAAGCCAACACAGGAGCCATACAACGACTACGACTACTACTACTGCACGACTACTACGACGACGACGACTACTACTACTACTAAGAAGCAAGCAAGCATTAGTATTAACAACGTTTCGGGTCTAATTTTACCCGGGTATACTTCATACTACCATCTACCATCTTACCCTTATGCCAGTAATCATGCTCCTGCGAAAATGCTTTGAGTCACTTTGCGATCTCTCATAGAAAGTGAAAGCATATTCGTTTCTAGTTATTTAACTGGAACTATCGAAACAACATTAGGACATTCGTGCACCTACAGGGTTCTGTTTCATTTACCCACTAGATTTGCTTTTGTACACCGAAATAATCGAACACCACATGTATCTCTCTAAACATGAAATAGTCCGTGAGGCTGTTTGCCCAAAACAAAGCACACGCACGCACACACACACAGACACACACACACACACCTCTCTACAGTCTCTGAGAAACAATTACACACAGTGGTCGTGGCAGTACGTGTTGTACAGTTCCACATGACCACTAAATTGGATCCAGATTTCATGCTAGTAATTTTATCAACGTCAAACACATCTAAATATCTACGGAAGATATTTTGAAACAAACATAGATGTCAGTGTTACTTTTGACACATGTCATGGTTTAGCTTCCCCATACACCACCAGGTGAACAAACTGTTTCCCCCATGCACTGCTGGGACTCACGGTTTCAGGGGCCAAGCAGTCCATGACAAAAAATGTGCAATGGATCCAGCTCTCAGGGAGACGGCAGAACACAAATCTTTTGTCAATTAAAAGGCTTATAGGATGTGAGAAGACTTTTGTGCATGGCGCCGGTCACTCAGCCAATTCTCTTTAGAATCCTCCCATAGATTGCTTTTTGGGGACAATATAGCACTTTAGCAATTTTTCTGCACAAGTGCTGTAGTGTCCTCAAAGAACAGCCAGTCTGATTCCCAACGTGCTGTACTGTCCCAAAACAGCAACAAAACAACAATTTTGTCCAGTCTTGGAGGCTAGCTCCCCAGGTGTTCAAAAAAATTGGTCCAAAAAGCTGCACTGTCTCAAAAGCTCATCTTTGTTTGTTTAAGTGCCCTACTGTCCCAAAAAACCGAAAATCAATCTTTTCAGGTTTGTGGGGCAGGGTGTCCACTAGATTCTCTGTTTTTTGGATGCCGCAGACATGCTCATGCAGACAGTAACAAGAGCCGTGGAGACAACAAAACCCAGAAGGGCACATGACCACATTGAAATATTGAAACACATTGAATTTCAATATGGCGGATCCAAGATCCAAGATCCAAGATTGCACGGGACTCCTGGGAGGAATCTTGCATTCAGGGAGGGCGATATTCAAATGTTGAGGACATATTGAAATTCAATATGGCGGATCCAAGATCTGTGATCCAAGATTCCTCCCCAAGCGTCCTGGGGAATCTTGAATTTGGGATTCGCCATATTAAATTCAATATGTCTGAATTGCTTCATGTGATCCTCCGTCGGGCTCATTGAAAAATTAGGCCGCGTTGGGTTTCAACACGGTCGGCTTGTGCCGTCATGAGGAGATGGTTTGAGACACGTGACGCAGTCATAAGAAAAACAATCGTGATTGGAAGGATGGTCATGAGGAGATGTTCGTGAGCGGCAATAGCTAAAAACAGATAAAATACATAGATCTTGGGGGGCACAAAATATTATATATGTATATACAGACATACAGTGACATACATACGTACATACAGACAGACAGACTCACAGACATGCATAAACACGCACACACACACACCACATAATATGAGTGCATATATGTGTGTATACACACATACATACACACGCATTGCTGTGCCGAATAAGCCAGCAGCAGGCACTTCGTGGCTCCAGCGTCACGGAGCCCTGTTACCAGGTGCGCTAATGCGTGACACTATAGATGCAGCTCTTGGGCATGCTGCACGCCTCTTGAACATGCATCCATCAAGGCCATGAGTAGATGCATGCGAGAGCAAATCGCAATCTTGCCTCAAAGAACCCAGCTGTTGCATGGTCTGCAACCCAGGAGATGTCTGCTGCTGTTCGGGTGCTGCAAAGTCAGCTCCAGGCGCTGCAAGCCGAGAAGGGCCAGGCGTGGATTTGCACAGAACACTCGCTTAGGAACCAGTGCCAGAACAGCAAAGCAAACGGTCAGCTAAGCGCTTCCCAGCAATGTCTCCACCCGTAGCCGGTTCATGGAATGGAGCAGTTTCAGTGCACAGTTCTCTGCTGCGCGATGGAGATGGCAAAGCATGTTCGGCGAGCAACAGTCTGGCGGAAGTGCAACCGTGAGATGCCATGCCTTTCGAGCCCCCTGTCACCCATCAAGACGCCAATTTAAATGCAACGCCTCCATGTCGTTTGACAACCGCATCTTCACTGACTCAACGCAGTTATGGGTCTGCTAGCACATGGCGTCGCCGACAGTCGCAGCCAGTGTTTGTCCCCGGTCGTTGTTGCATTGTTCCTGCTTGTTTTTGAGTGGATTAACCCTGCAGCTCGATGCATGACCTGCCCAGTCAGGACTGTTACATAGCACGAAGTCACATTGGACCCGAAACTGCGACCCAGGTCCTGGCGAGTTGAAGAAGCAGCCACGAGTCTAAAGAGTGCGCCTGCGCAGGTCGCAGCTGCAGTGACGGCCATGTCACAGCAGCAGTCAAGCCTGGAAGCAATGCAAGAAGAACTCCTGGCCGGAATCTCGCCTATGTTTAGTCACGATCGTTACTGTTTGTCGGAGCACAGGTCCGAAGGAAAAATGCCGCACCTGACGGTTGCGGGAGTTGAGGATGCGTTTCCGAGATTCTTCTCCCCTCCGCTCATGATACCACCCGACTGCAGAATTGAGGATCTCAAGATCCGCCAGATTGGCACATCTCGAGTCATCTGCGCACTACCATGGACTTGATGCAAGATCGATGGCATTTATCCTGATAGGTCAAGTCTTGTTAACTGAGTCGGTTTCATCATCAGCAGCCACAACACCAACATCACCACGTCTTCATCGGTTTCATATTGAGCAGAACCATGGTGATGATAATGGTCTTCATCATCATCATCATCCAGTATTCGTTCGTCACCACCGTTTAATAATAGTCAGCATCGCCTCACCAGCATATGCAGCATGGCATAGGACAGGAGTACGAGGCAGTTGAGACGACGAGCCCCCTGAATTTATCGTCCGAGGAATGGCTCGTCGGCCTGATGAGGCCAAGATCGTGGGCATGTCTCTATGGATGATTGGTGCACTCAGCTTTGCTGAGCATGTGCATCGTTACAACCGAGCTTTGGCCAGTGATGGAAGCTGGGGCTGTTCCGCCTTTCAGAAAAGGGATGTATCCGCAACTGACAAACTTCAGTAGCAGATGATGAATGCAGCGCAATCAATACAACAATGTAATGCCTCTACATATGAAGGAAGGCACGGTTCAAGGGCTGTGAGGACGGGCACCAACACGCCGCAGGCCCGCATGTCCGTGGTGGAGCATGGCATAGCATCGCTCCATGCCAAGCAGAACGAGCTGTCAGCAACTCTGCAGGTCCGTGGGCCTTGCAAAGGGCATTGCATCGTGCTTGGCAGGTCTCACTGTAATTGAGTCCTTTGGATAAGGATAGGGGCGAGGCTCAGGTGTCCAGGCTGCATGGACAGGATGTGGTGGAGAAGCACCCACGCTCTTGTGAATAGATCAGAACGTGGCGGGCGAAGCATCGGAGGTCCGGCAAGGAACCTCTTTGTTGGGCTATTGTTTGAGACGGGCCTACCTGATTCGCACAGGGCATGATGAGTCTCAACGCAGCTGTGGCCTTAGAATAGTCTGTTCTCGTGGTCTTCGGGCTGTCGGCTCGTCGAGGCCATGTCTCAACGTGAGATGCGGCACATAGCATCGCGCGAAGTCTCTGCTTGAACATACGGTGGAGGGATAGAAAGATCCTCTTGTTTAGCCCCGCTTAGCAGCTTGAAAGTCAGGCTGGTGAGCATGTGGCCAAGAGCTTAGAATTTGAGTTCAGGTTTTGAGTTGTCAGGTACTGGTAGTACGTTTCGGTGTGGAGGACTCAGGACCTGAAGGCTGGAAGAAGCGTAAGAGTCTATGACAGCTTCTCATGCTCTGTTTGAGAAGCCTGCGGCCAATGCTGCATTCCAGTTGTTGCTGGCATCTGTGGCGTTCTGTTTGCATGCGGCCCAGGGATCCATGGACAAAGTGGCCAGAGCCTTGATTCAGCCTGTGGAGCCCTCCTCAACATGACGAGAGAGTTCCACGTCGAGCAGACTTGGCATGAGCCCTGTCGGACCTCGTGCACCTTCGCGGGACGAGCCACTCACTGGAATATATACACCGATGTCACCGATGTTTTGTCTCCAGTTAGAGGTTAACCCAACAACATGCAAATACTATAGTCGTGCTGGCGCCAGCCTATAACCCTGAACAGATGCGAACGAGGCGGTTGCCGCCATGCTGCAGCCGCTGCAGCAGAGGATGAGCCGGCAGGCCATCACCGAGACAGGGTTTAAGGTTCGCTTCTTCACGGTGTTGCCAGACAGTTGCTGGAAGCCTGCCAGGAGACAGACCTGAAGGAGATGCGCTCAAAGGTTGAGCAGCTGCGGGTCTCTGACACCGAGGCTTCAGGGCAAGGGTTGGCCCTAGGGCTCAAATGTGCCCGACAGCAATGTGCAGACGTCTGTGCAACCGAGAGGTACTGAAGGGTGAGATGGCGACAGTTGCGGATGCTATGACAACGCCTGTGCCCAGGGGGTTCGCGACAGCGGGTCTGGGAGGGACTCGATTACTTAGCTTAGGCCTGTATGCCCAGCCATAGCCTTTCCCTGGATTTAGCTGGATTTAGCTGCGGCTTTGCATGCACTTGACAGTCCTTTTATTGACCTGTGGCCTTGGAGCGTGCATGTATAGTATGCGCAATGCACACACACTAGGCGGTTGCTGGACCTCGCCTCCCGAGTGGAAACAGACTTGTTCCGGGGTCTGAGGCTCTGTGTCAAGATCGAAGAAATGGACAATTTGAAGGCCGTGAACGATCGGCTCAGCAGTGAGCTAGGCCTGGATCGACACTGCTCGGCGCATGACAAGATCTGAGCAGTGCGAAGCGCTTCCTTCCAGATCGGCCGTCACGGCCAGAGCAGGGCAAACTTCAGCAGCAACCCAGGGGTCAGATAAGTCCATACCAGAATTCGTTGATGCGGGGGCACCCTTTCTCTCGCCACATGCTGCTTTGGACAGTCGACATGCACTTCGCACCAACGACAGTCACAACAGCAGCAGTGCACACACAGCATATCAGAGCATCAGCATTTTATCGCTTGTGACTGTCAGGGCACCCAAAAAAATCACGAACGACGTCGTAAAGCATTCAAAGGTGAAACTTTAAGCGACACTGCACGAAGCATCGCAACAACTTTGTGTGTGCAAAAACAGGGCTCCCACAGCGTCCCTTCCTGTAAAAATCAGGGCTGGTAACTGCCCGCCATCCTTGCAGGCACTGTGGCCAAAGCTTTAGCCAACCTTGCCGACCGAGTCGACCGACTAGAGGCACGAAGATAGCCAGACATTGCCCGTCTCAGGATGCATTTGTGCAGCGACGCATGCTGGAATGCGTATGTTTGTCTGCTCGATGTCGGAAGAGAGCACCATGTTGCGTCAACCACCCCACAAGCATCCACAGGCTGAGTCAGAACTTGTCGAACTTGTGGTTGCTTCGCCCTGCTGGTCTGAATCTCCACTTGCACGAATCTTGCTGGGGCTAAGCGTTGAGGCTCGAGGGCAACTGAGACTCAGTTCTTCACAGTCCGTTCAAGCTGACGGCTGGTGCAGTGCCCTGTGCTTGAGAAGCTCCGCACTCGCCCGCTCCAAGGGAACAGCTGAAGCGCGATCGTAGTCGCCCAAACGAGGATGGAGGTTGACTGTGTAGTAGTTCCAGCTCTCTTCAGGGGAAGACACCCACGAACAGCATTGCCTCTGCAGGCGCTGAGGCGGGAAAGCTCCGGATGTTGGGGTGGTGCAATCATGAGCATGATAGAAATTCAACTGTGCAGCGGAGCATTTTCCACATCTGTCATGTTGTGTCTTCCCTCGCGTCCTCTTCTGGTCAAGGACCCCTGGAGTTCGAGCTGTTTGGAGTTGCTGCCTTTCAACTCGATGAAAACCTCTCGCTCTGGACATTTAATCTGGTGTACATTTTGAGGAACTCTCCGGGCAAGACGATGCACAGCAAGTGCAACATTGTCCATGCATGCATGGCCTTGGCCAAGGGACAACCACAAGAGACGATGAGCTGATTGTAAGCACTTCCCACAGGGGAAACTCGCTTGCTGCAGTAAATTTGTTGTTTGTTGCTTTTTCCCGGTGATCGAATCTAGCTGTTGAGCTGTTGCTTACCTTCCTGGTTTCGCGGCCGCTATCTTCACGGCCTGTCAGCTTCCTGACTTCGTGATCTGCCTGTGCATGCTGTGCCTCGAACCTCTTGAGACGGCCGTCATCTGAAGATATACTACTGCTGCTGCTGCTACTGCTACTGCCTCCACCCAAACGACTATACTGCTACAAGCACCACCACTACCACCGCTACCACCACCGAGCCAAGAGAACTGCTCCGAATCACTGTTTCCCTGCTGTTCTGCCTGACACTGCACCACCGTGGCGTGTTAAACGACCGGTGGCTTTCCAGAAAACTCGCGTAACGTCTTATGTGCCTGGTAGTTACAGAATGTGCTGCATGGAATCCTACCAAGCAGAGATTGTCGACTTTAGGTGGCGTCCGCGCCCACTCCGCGGGACCCCCGGCGCAGCGACCGCAAGGCACCAAGCCCCCGGAGGTGGCTACAGGCGCGGGGAAAGGGAGGGGCAGTTGTAGACGATCGGAATCCGGCTCAGAGATTCGGATTTCCAGCTTGATGGTATGGCAGGACGGCTTTTGATCGACCCTGCAAACCTGCATTTCACCATCCTGCCGACTTACGGCTTTAATTTGTAAGCTCTGAAAAACTTGGGACAGAGCCGTTGGAGTCAGCATCTTGGCTCGATGGAAGGCCAGCCTCCTTTCGTCTCGAAGCACGCCTAGCCCCCCTTTCCGATTTAGGCGGACAAGCATTGATACGGAGAGTAAGAAGCCTCGTAGTCGTACATCATCATCTTCCTCATCATCGCCATGATCATCAACAGCAGCAGCTGCTGCGGCAGCAGCAGCATGCCTAGCTTTTCACGATGAGAGCAGGAGCCACTTTCCGTGTCTGTGGGCCGTTGCTCTGACGTCCCAGGCAGGGTCCCGTGTGGCGCAAGGGCAAGGTTTTCCGGGCTCTCTCAGAAGTCGCAGGTTGCTTGAGCTGGGTGTCAGCAGACCCTGGTGATTGTTGTAGCGACATGCCAACTCGTGGCGGAATTGAACCACCTACTCGTACCGAGAACCCCGAAAGGCGACAAGTGTCAGGCTTGCTTCTCCGTAGGCCTTCTGAAGCCTGCCAAGCACTCCACTTCTGGTACTAGTATGTCTAAGGTGATGTTCAAGTATATCGTCCGCCAGCATCCGGTCAGTCACAGTATCATGTGTGCTCTCAGCTGTCCAAAAGATGAGATCTGGACTCATGCAGCGCATCCCCATGCTACGAGGTCTTCTCTTCGTGATACCATCCTCTTGTTTTTCTCCTCGGTTGCATCAGTCCTGGCCAGTCTTCGTTGCTTATTTGCCTGCCCAGGCATCTTGCAAAGCTCCGAGCACCTGCTCCCGAGACCCACAACGCAGGGTCTTCTTTGAGGCTTGCTGGTGTGACAGTCATAGATATGCCATCCATGGGACACAGGTGATGTGTACGCACCGAAGTGCTAGCTGCTAGAGTCAACGCAGCCCTGGCATGTGGCTTGGTTTCTCACTTACTGCATTATGGGCTCAAGCCGTGTGTCAACGGTTCTTGAAAGCGAGGTGCTCCGACACAGCAGCAGGCAGACAAGTTCAGACCGGGTTTCCAAGCATCTCACACGCAGTCGATCATGAGCAGCAGGCCATAGCAGGACCCTCATGCTCCGTCAACGATTCAAGCGTGTGGATGGCTCCAGATTCCCGATACCCAAACTTTTCAACTCTATCCCTCGGGCTTTTGCCTTTAACAAACGGGCCATGAGCCACAGCGATGGCATATCCAAGCAGTGCTGTCAACGAATCCTCTGCCGGAAGCTCCACGCCTCAATTCCAGGTCAGATGCAACGCATGTGATGCTTTAGCCGCGACGCCGCGAGAGTCGCTTGAATTACCATCGCAATGGTGAAGCAGCAACGAGTAGGGCTAAGCATCCACAACCATGCCGACACAGGTGAGGTTATTTGCCCGTTGATTCCAAATTCAATTCGGGACTTGCTACATCGTAGGCCTTATGGCATCGTGTGAGAGAGAACGGGATGCTGACACAGATCGGGGCACCCGACACAACCTTAGATTTGCCACGCTAGACAAGGTGGCAAGGAATATGACGAAGCCCAAACCAAGAGCAGGCTCGTGCTGCAGTTCCGGCTATCTTTCGCAGAGCCAGGTGGAGAGCGAGAGTGTCCAAGGCTTTACTCCTCACGCTCAACAATAACAGAGCAACTTGAGCAGGCTTCCAAGAAGCAAAGCCACTCAAACAGGCACGCACACAGACAGAGATCGAGAAGGGATTGCATGACACCTCGCATGCTAGGTCCAGGTGGTCCGCAGCGGGAGAATGGCGACCCTCAGGCACTCTGGGCAGCGAAGGCGTGCGGCGTGCACTGAAGGCCTTGTAAAAGCTTAGCGACTTAGCAGTACGCGAAGTTCCGACGAGGCGATTCTGGTCCGAGACGTGTCCCTGGAAGCTTTGAGAGCTTGGCTGGCTTCTCCTGGCAGCGATGTCGAGACTTGGCTGGGGCACTTGTGGCAGACGATAGTTTTGAGTTTTGATCAAGTCCGATCTCACTCTCACTGTCACCGCGTATATCCATTCCCCCGGCGCACGACGAGACCGAAGAATCCAACACTTGCAGCATAGCTGCCACAACGCTACATTCCTGGGTGAGAGCCTGCAGCAAACCGGCCACATCCCATACGTTCCCACCCGGAAGGTTAGGCTATTGATTCTTGACTGCTGCATGCGAGGGGATTCGGCAAGAATCAGCAAGACTTAGTCGCTGGTGCAAGGGCGAGCATCCCGAGTGGATGGGGGAAAGCTGAGAGTCGGCATCCAGAAAAGCGATCCGAAAGAGCCCAGTATCTGAACGCAGGTGCAGGGGCTTTGAACTGCCTGCCCGCCAACCACCTCGTGAATATGAAGTGTTGTAGATGCTGATCAGCACATACTTTCGAAAGCAATTTTCATCTGGACAGGCCACTTCCAGCAAGTGACAATCCGAGCATCCCCAAAACATCCCCACCTCCGGACAGTTGCTGTTCAGGAGAAGGCCCTGCGGAAGGCCATGCGCATCCGACACGCCAAGCTGTGCCAAACGACGCGTTCAGCTGTGGCTCGGCGCGCTTCTTGCCTGAAGTAAGTCGGCCCGCTAGAGAGTGTGCATATGTTGCGCACAAATGTGCGCGAATTGTACAGAGACAGACACTGTCCATGATGGGAACCATGAGTTTGAAAAGAAGACTGAAGCAGCCAACATATTGCATTTCAGGCTAGGCTCAAAGGCGATGAACGTACGATCGTGAATGTTGTGCATGCAATTGGAGCTTCCTGGGCCCCAAATTGTGGCCACGCTGTCGACCTATGCGATTTCAAAGACCTGTCCACGCCACTTGGCGCACCTGGTCGTCAGAAGCTTTTTCAAACTCGTTCTTCTCAGGTTCTTGGCGTGGCTGTGGCTCGTGGGCGCCTTTCGCACCTGCTAGAGCAAGTTGCACCCGGCCACGACTGCGACGCCGAGCTGCTTCTCGAACTCTTCGTGGTGCGAGAGCTGCCTCGAGTGCTGGAGGTAGCTTGGGAGGCATTGAAAGATCAAAATCGCATCGCCAAATGTGCGAGATTGTGAGGAGTTGGCCCTAGGCACAGGCACATTGCTTGCGCTTTCGGGGCCGTCGGAAGGAGATGGAGCATCCGTCTTTCGCTTTGGCCGGATCCACGAAGACGGCGTGGCGGCAAGTCTTGGCCGATGCCTGCAGTCGACCGCTGCCACTCGTTTGCGATCGCCAGGTTGTCTTTTGCTGCTTCTGTACGTTTCGGTTGGTCGCATGCATGTTCGTATTTGTGCTGTGTCGGGCTGCCGTTGATGGTGGGGTCGTACACTGGCATCTGTGGCGACGGAGCTGTGCGTGTGATGTGAAGGCAGGCGCACTCAAGACTAGCATGGCAACCATCACGAACCACAACTCCAAGGTTTGGTCCGGCTGATTCTGCCACCCTGGCCAAGCGCCTGTCTGTTGCTTGGTCCTTGCCATTGTGGCTGGGTTGTGAAGATAAGAGTAAGAGTCTGGAAAGTACCCCGCTGCCTGCCCATTGGGCCATGGACCCCTATTGATAGGGGTCTATGGGAAATCGGATAGGTTCCTAAAGGGCTAGGGGTGTACACAGGTGGGATAGGGGTCTAGACAGAGGGGTCTATGGCTGGGGGATAGACCCCTGTAACGCGCATAGACCCCTATCGTTTTTCGGCCTGTATATTGCCTGAGCTTTCATGCGCATGCAGCCATTAGGGAGCGAGTGCAAGAAGCAATGAAGCAAATGCTTTCGCACAAAAACCTGCGCGATGAGAACTCACATGAACGGTTCGTTCTGCACCTGGAAAGTTAGGGAATAAGTGTCCTGTCAATCAGCCGGTCTGTCAGTCTGTCGGGCCAGGCGGTCAGTAAATCGGAGAGTCGGTCAGTCGGTCTGCCAGTGTTTGAGATATATGAAGAGCCGGCATCGCCAAATGAGAGGGCGTGCTTAAGATACATGGTGAACCGGAATCGCCACATGACGGGGTGTGTGTTAAGGTACGTGGTGGACCGTTTCTCGCCACATGTAAGGGCGTGCTCAAGATATATGACGAGCGGAATCGAAAAATGAAGGGGTGTGTTTCACATGCAATTATGCTGCACCGATTATCCCCCAATGAGGGGGCGTGTGTAAGATATATGACGAACCGGCATCGAGTGAGGGAGCATGTTCCAGATACATGATGACCTGTTATCGCCAAAAGAGGGGGCATGTTTAAGATATATGATGAGCTGGTATCGCCAAATGAGGTGGCATGTTCAAGATAAATCGTGAATCGGAATCGCCGCATGAGGGAGGGCATTTAGGGGGCGTGTTCAATAAGATGTATGATGAACCGATATCATTAGCAAAGCATGCAAATGTAGCGAGCGATAGTGTCAATGCACGCTCACAATGTCACAAGCAACTGAGCAACGAGGTCATGTGTCAATTCGTTCGAACGGTTTGTTCTGCACTTGGACAGGGCAAGGAAGTAGGGTTTGTGGAAGAACGGTTCAACGGCTTGGGCATCGGGGTTTTGATCCCTGCTGCCGCAAATCCTACTTCCTTCACATTCCAAGCGCAAATCAAACCGTGCGAATGAATTGACACTTGACCTCATGGCTCAGTTGCTTGTGAGTGTATGACCTCGTTGCTCAGTTGCTTGTGACTCTGCATTGACACCATCGCTCGCTACATTCGCATGCTCTGCTACTAGTGGCTGCATGAGATGGAGCCTCCTAGCTGGAAGAAAGACGTGCCCGAAAGCTAGTATATGTCGTGGCTACTACACAAGTCAAAAGTGACTCAAACAGGACCAGGAAAGGCACATGAGCCTATGGCTTGAGAGATGGGGCCTATCGTGACGGGGATAAGGGTCTATGGAAAAGCGATAGGGGCCTATGCTGCAAAGGGGTTTATCATACGTATCGACAGGGTTTATCCATAAGAGTCTTTCCGATAGAATTCTTTATGACAGGTGCCCTGTTTGCTACTGTGGGGCACCGCAACCCTTTGGAGGTGGATGGCAGAGCGCTGGCTGCAACACCTCGGGCCCCTGTCAGCTTTCCAGCTTGGCCGCGCTATGTGCCAGCCTGCGAGGATCACGTGCCCACAGAGATATTGGCAGAGTTTTGAAGGCAACCCCCCAACCAATGTCGATTTGCGGCTTGCACTCTTGATTGCCAAGGCTTCGCGTCAACACCCTCCGGACGACCCGATTGGAGCTTATGCACCAGCTTTCAAAGCATGGGGTCCGCAGCATACCCACAGCAGAGAGCCGTTTTGGCTTGTGGCTCCCGGACGCTGGTCTATGGCTTAGTGAAAACACATGTGGTAGGGCAAAAGCTTTGCCCTTTGACAGGCTGCTCGCAAGACAGTCTTAAGGCTTCTGATGCTTTTGTGTCGTTCAGGCAAGAGTTCGGCCTGCACACCCCACGCACGTACCTCATTTTTGATCATCCAATCCAGGAGAAATTTGCAGCCAACTGCACAAGGCAGAGGAACTCGGTGCCGATACTTTAATGGTACAGCTGCAGTCCGAATCCTCAAGACTCAAGACTTCAACGTTCTTGACAGGCTTGACAGAGTCAGAGAGAGAGAGTCCTGACTGGGCGGGCCGATGGCCTGAGGGTCACGACATGACCCCTAAGCCCAGCAGAAAAGTTTCAGGACGGCAGGCCAGCCAATGGGGGCGTTTGGCAGCTCCCGGGCTACAGCCAGGGCCTCTTCGAGGTTCAAGACGAGGGCTCCCAAATCTTAGCTCTCGCTACAGAGGCCAGCCGCCCAGAGAGGGCCAGCGCACTAGTTGCCAGGTATTTGTTTCAGGTGCTTGTCGATTCCAATCTCTACTTGCAGCAATCTGGCAGGCCCGACCAGGGGAGACGGTTCTGGACTATTGCGCCGGTCGCGGCGGCAAAACCTGGCTGCTGTGCGCCCTTGTGGCCCCACATGGGCGTGTCACTGCCTGGGATGTCGCTTTGATTCATGTTCATTTCGATGAGCGTGAACGCTGTCAGGCTGCCGGGGTAGAGAAACCACCTTTAAGGAGATTTTGTCATCTTGCTCCGATGACTTTAGTATCTTGAACTGTGTCTTAGCATATCAGAAATAGCATTGACGGCAGAGGATCCAGACAGATTGAAGCTACTGGCTACAGACGGAAAAGCACGCTGGTATACGCTTTTTGCTGCCTACAGTACTGCATGTGAGAGCTTGTGAGCCTGCCGAGTGCGTTCTCTATCAGCAATCAGGATCACGGGCGGAAGAACAAAGAAATGCCACAAGAAAGGACAAACATCAGGATGTATAGACTCGGGCTACAGTATATGTTGTGGCAGAATGGCCCGTTTGCGCTCTTTTCAATTTACGCCTTCGAAATGCAAGAGCGGCCGTTGTATCTCCTCGTGGCAACTTGAGGACATACCACCATACCATGTCCCCCTTTTTGCTTCGGACAACATAGCTCCTGTATGCAGCATTAAACATGCTCAATCTGTTTTGAAATCCTGCAGTTTTCTGAAGAACAAGACGAAACCAACTGATGTGGGGTACAAGGGTAAGGGCACATTCTTCTAATGTTTATACACATGACATACTGTGCTGTCGAATTGAAAGCAGCAGACCACGCTTATCTCTTAACACGAACAACTTAAGAGGTCAGGTACTGTCTTGCGAGCAGGCAGCTCCTCGGTCTGCACTGAGAAGAGTTCGCACGAGCCTTTTCCCATCACGAGAAATCAGAAAAAACCCGCCAGATGCTGTTTGCTCATGAAGTGGTTAAATCCCGCTGGAAACTTTGTTCTACCCAGCAAAGCTTCTGAGGCCGCCCAGCCCGGGCGACTATAGTGCTGTGGGATAAGTGGGTTGTCATGGATGCTGAGTTATTAACCTGAAGAAGGAGAACATGATGTTAGCCTCCGTAGTCTTCAACGAGATTCGCCATTTGATGATTTGCCACTTCTTTGAGGTGGACGAAGATCTCCGCAAGCAGCTGCTGGGGGTTTTCCGGCTTGAGTCGTGCCCCCTTGAGTTTGCGAGGATTCTCACGGATTGCTTTCATGTGGCTTTGAGGATTGGGGACTTCCATGCGCAGTGTTCCTTCGCCTCTTTTTCTTGCTGGGCACGATGCACTTCATGGATTCATGAAGAGCTGTAATGAAGCAGCGTTTGTTGGGGTAGCCGTCGTGTGCCCGAATTGCGCCGTGCTGCTGTTCGAACATTGTTCGACACCATTTGCTGCAGTTGTGCAACTGCAGTTGATCTGGGCCGAAAAGCCTGCCAAACGTGTCGAAGATGAACACGAGGAGGAGGAGGAGGAGGAGGAGGGGAGGAGGAGGAGGAGGAGGCCGAGGACGAGGAGGACAATCACTGTAACCACAATGGGGATGGAGATGACGCTGTAAGCATGCTCGCAGGTGTTCTCATCGGGAGCATGATGATGGTGGTGCTGGTGCAGGTAACCGGGCAGTCTGAGGTTCTCGAAATTCGCTTTCTGCTGAGGCTCGAGCCAAGCGTGCATCTGTCGATGGGCTGTTGGAGGTCACAGA